CAGGAATATTGTTTGTTTTTATCTAAACCCGAGAGTCATGCTATGACAGGCCTTAAAAAACAGTAGCGGCGAGGGCGCGCGGTCACGAGCGCGCGCTGTGCGCAGTGTACGCGCGGCGCGCGCGCGGTGAGCGCGCAACAAGCGCGCAATGAGCGAGCAGCGCGCGAGCGGTGCGCGAGCGGTGCGCGGCGGCACGCGCGGAATGCGCGCGGCGAGCGCGCAACGAGCCAGCGACGCGCGAGCAGTGAGGCGCGAATCCAAAAGTCTTAAGCTGGTTCAGGGCGTTTGCTTGGTTTTGAAGAGTTGGTCGGAGCCGGCGCTATACGCAAACAGTAACAGGACCGACGCAAGATGAGAGCATCGCTCGAGCTCAAGGACAGAAGCAGTCGACGACTGGTGTTCGAAGAAAAATAGCCCAGGTTCCACACTTAAGGTGTTGCAAGTTCAAGGTTGCTCCTAGCAAAACTCAGCCAAAGATGGAGTGACATGTGTTCCAAGTTGCAGGTTTCAACCAGCATTACCAGTTGCAAGCGCAAGTCGTTAAACAATGAGTCAAGCAAGTCACAAGTTGGGGCTGCTCCACCCATGAGTGTCATCATCATCATCAGAGTTGACGTGATGTCCAGATTTGCATTTTGGCAGTTTGTAGCTGTAGCAGGTTATTTCTATGAGTCATCAGCAATGAATCAGGCAGAAAAAACCATGAATCAGGAATCGTCGCGCGTGATGGATCAATCATGAGCCTGACTCACCCTCATGACGTGCGCGCCAATAGCAGTTTTGGCCCAGTTTGTCTGTGGACATCAGATCAGGATCGGATTGATATGAGTTTGACACGCGCCCGCAGGTCTCTGCGCTGGCCAAATATGGTCAAATAGGAAGCTTGCGCGCTGTGCGTTCAGGCCCCAGTCAGTTCAGCAGCTTAAGCAGCGTCCGTCTATGAAGTCGGCAACGATTGTTCAGGGCGCAAGCCCGCCGATTCCTGAGGATGATGTCAGTCTCAATGTCAGTCACCGCCACTCTTTTTCCGCACGCCCTTCTGCAACAAGCCCTGGTGTTCAGTGTTCGCACCGGGTGTACGCGTGCGAGATCTGAGAGGCTGAGAGAAGCATTTGTGAACATGTGGGAACGGAATAGTTGACTGGTGCCACCTTCATTTCAACTTTACCTGGAAACTTCACTTTTGACTCTTGACGGTTGAAAGAGTGAACTTTAAACAAACTAACTTTGCGAGATCGCTGCAAGCAATGTCATGTGATGTAATGTAGCGCTACTTGACCTGCGTCGCACCGATTGGTCCATGACCAGTGTCAGTGTCACTCGTGACATGACTCATGACTCATGCCTCACATCAAACAAACTCGTCGTGCGCCAGCAATCTTGTTTCCCCTTGAGTGTCGCAGGTAGCCCAGCATTACGTTGGAAGGGGCCACCGCATGGTGATTCCGGTCGGCCAATCCCATTAAGTTGCTCATCATCTGAGTCGCATGAATCACGATGACTAACAATATAGGGCCGTAGGGCGCGGCGAAGGTTTTCCCCTAGTTGTAGATTGCGGACGCGGATTCGGACTCAGCTGAGTTTGGGCAACCCAGGAACACTACCCGACTGCGTGCGAATCGGATCTGCGAATCAGTGAATTAGCACCGGTAATTCGACGATCCTGAGATGGGCCATGAGTGTTTGGTTTTTGAAGCTTGCCGCCTTTCCGCTTGCAGTAGCTCATGCGCTAGATGTTGCCCCGTGTGAGCCAGTGCGCAACAAACAGCTGTATATAATTGGGTGGAAACCACCTGCCAATTGACAACACAAGTAGGAGCTTGCGAGATGTGTTGCTCGAAATTTTGACTGGCCCTTGTACGGCAGCACGGCAGCATCGTTCCAATCACATGATTCTGCAGGTATGAGTCATCAGATGACACGCTAGCCATCACTAGCTGAAGTTGAACTGACAGCGACACTAGATAGCTGAGGCAAAAATACCAAGGCCTAAGATGGGTAAATCACGGCAACATATGTAGCTTAAACCAACCACCACTGAATGCAGTGTTCAGTCCTCCGGACAAACAAATCATTGCGCAGAAGCAAAGTGTCAGTGTGGTTTGTTGTTTCAAAATGCTTGCCTGGCGGTTACCTGGTTGGCAGTTGACACCACATTGTTGGGTTGCGCAAAGCAATGCACATTTCCGAGCGCAAGGTAGACAGCGGATGTGATGAAACATTGCATGTGACTCAAGCTTCGTGGCCCAGCGTCGACGCTGCTTTTTTTTGCGGGGCCAGCAGTTTCTTCACCAAGTCAATCGTATTTCTAATATTTAGCTTGAGCGAAATCCTGCGCCACCAATCATGAATAGTTGAGATGATGAAACATTGATGGGACGCAACACGCGCAAACTGGCCCGAAACATGTAAACCATAGCGTTGATGGATTTATTTGATGCTTGACTGGCATTCACATGATGGGTTCTGATTTTGTTTCCATCCTTCCGCAGATGCGACT